GTTAATTCTCATATACTTCAACCATCACTTGGCACAGAATCAACCCTGGATGAGTGTTTACTATGATTCATAACTGAGTGTAATTTTTATTTTTATTTTTTTTGAGATGGAGTCTCACTCTGTCTTCACCCAGGCTGGAGTGCAGTGGCACAATGTTGGCTCACTGCAACCTCTGCCTCCTGGGTTCAAGTGATTCTCCCGCCTCAGCCTCCGGAGTGGCTGGGATTGCAGGTGGGCAGCACCATGCTCAGCTAATTTTTGTATTTTTAGTAGAGATGGGGTTTCACCATGTTGGTCAGGCTGGTCTCAAACTCCTAACCTTATGATCAGCCCGCCTCGGCCTCCCAAAGTGCTGGGATGACAGGCATAAGCCACTGCACCCAGCAACTGAGTGTCATTTTTAAAGATGCCCATGGCGTAGGACAGAGAATGTGAGCTCTTTCTGCTCGAAGGTGGGCAAACCAAATCCTGAAGGGGAAGTGACGCAACCCAGCTTCCTGCAGCCGGTGCAGAGCTGGGCCCTTCCTCTGGGTCTCCTCTTCTACATCCAGGCCCTCCCCGCTGCTTTTCAGCCACCGGAAGAGGGGGCCCAGCAGATGACTTGCTCTGGGCTGCCTGAGGCTTTCTAACTCCTGTATGAGTCTTTGTCTCAAAAGAAGAGACTCCTTCAGCACATGAATTCTGACATTTTCACCGTTTTTGATGGGTTTGTTTTCATAAAACATTTTTATAATTTGCCTGTCTTGCTAAATCAAGTACGGGGAGTATGCCAGCACAGTCAGAACTTTTGAGCGGGATTTCACTTTGTGATGCTGTGGAGTCAACATTACACCTAGCAGCTGCTCCAGCCAGCCTGATGCAGGCGGAGCTTCTCACACTGGAACCTTTGTATCCTCCCTTAAGGTGCATGCTCCCCACTCCCTCCATGGGACAGTGGCTTTTCTAGGTGTTGGAAGGCACAGTATACATGTGGCTTATCTCCCTGAAGTCTGTTTTATTGAGAGTTCAATAAGGGTTTGGGGGCAAGCAATTATTACATTCACATTCCTTTTTAATGCACATTTGTGGCCAGGCTCACTGGCTCATGCCTGTAATCCCAGCACTTTGGGAGGCCGAAGCAGGTGGATCACTTGAGGTCAGGTGTTTGACACCAGCCTGGCCAACATGGCAAAATCCCATCTCTACTAAAAACACGAAAATTAGCTGGACATGGTGGCAGACGCCTGTAATCACAGCTACTCGGGAGGCTGAGTCGGAGAATCACTTGAACCTGGGGGTTGGAAGTTGCAGTGAGCCAAAATCATGCCACTTCACTCAGCCTGGGCAAAAGAGTGAGACTCCATCTCAAAAAAAAAAAAAATTTTGTTGACAATATTTAAAATATAAACTCTAATATAAGAAGATTGCAGCGAAAGGATGTGGAGATTGAGCTGTGTTGAGTCTGTATTCCTGCAGAGCCCTCTGGTGGACGGGATGGGGGCTGCCCCCACATGCAGGGCTGCTCCTTGCGCTTTGCCCCAGTCCCCAGTACTCCCTAGTGCCTCTCCCACCAGGCAGCCCCAGTTGTTTGAAAACATGACCTCCCCTGCTTTAGGGCTTATTGTTCTCATCTACACCTTAGGAGGTCGAACTAGGTCAGGGGTCCAACTCATTTCTGCAAGTCTCTGAACTCCCTTTAGCAGTGGGCATGGAAGTCCTGTCCACATGTATTACAGAGAGCATTTCACTATGGCACAAACGCGTCATTGCCTCATACTTTATTCTTCAGCAAAGACAGAATTCTCAAAAAGGCCAGAATATTTTATTTTAGGATTTTGGTGTGTGTGCTTTTTTGTCTTGTCTGTGAGAAACTAAATGGAAATTACCCCACATTTCATTTCTGTTAATTAAAATAAATTGAGGTTTTGGACTTGTCAAATTCCATACTGTCAAAAAAAGAAGGTCACTTTGATGGATGAAGCGAGATAACGGCACCAGCTAGTCATTGGTAGCAGAATGCCCCTGTGGGGCCCGGACTGAGGGTCCTGACACCCTCCTGGTTGTTGGTGAATTGCATCCTTTGGTTTGGATCCAGTCAGTTGTGAATACCATTTCTCTGTGATAGAGTCACTCATGTTGAACCCAATCCTTTTATAAAATCAGCTTTTTAAAAAGACCGAATTGTTATTTGGTGGGCAGGGCAAACCGTTAGTCTAGGCATGGATCCTGTAGAGTTGCCAAGAGGATGCACATAGAAGGCTTTGACTTCCAGCCCTGTGGCCACTGCTATCCAGCCAGGCTTTGTCGGAGCACCCAGAGGGCAGGGGCTGTCATGTGTTGCCCCTTGGACTTCCTTGGAGGGCTCTAAATAATGCTTCTCTTTCTGGCCCAGATTCTGAACAAACAATAAGTAAAAGGGGCTGGAGAGACAGAAAAAGCTAGAAATGAACATAACACCTTGATGAGCTTCTGTGAGTAATTGGAAGTGGAGGTGAGCGGGTCTGTGACTTTGGAAAGCGGGGAGCTGGTGATGCTATTTACCGAAATCAGATAATCCCGGTGGTGATAGAGCATTCTGACCTTGCTTTGCTTGAAGGAGCTCTGGCTCTTGCCCTCTGCACCGAGCCCCTTCTGCCTTTTCTGGGTTTCTGCTCAGCCCGGCCATGGCATGATGCTACACCTGCCTGCTCCCCAAGGCCAGGCCTCGGTTGTCCGTTTGGGATTCTGCACCCCTGCCTCCTGCACACGTGAGCCCTCCCTGCCTTCGCTTCACCAACAGGCTCTACTGTCACTGCCTGTGTGGTTTCAGAGCTTGGGGCCCAGACACCTGCTTTCAATTCCTTTCCTCCCCTGCTGAGCATGAGTGAGAATTTGGGAAAGCTCTTACCTTCTCTGAGCTTCTGTTTCTTCTCCTATAAAGTGGAGTGTATCAGCTTTCTATCCTGCCTAACCAACCACACACATTTAGTGACATTGCCTCAGTGTCCTTGGTCGGGAGTCTGGGCATAGCTTCTCTGTGACCTGTGCTCGGGATGTTGCAGGCTAGCGACCAAAGTCTCAGCTGGGCTGCGTTCTCCTCTGGAGCCTGGGGTCCTGGTCCAAGCTCATTCAAGCTGTTTGCAGAATTCACTTCTTTGTGGTTACAGGACTGATGCCCTCAGCTCCTAGAAGTTTCCCTTGTGCATAGACAGTTTACAGCATGGCTGTTTGGTTCTTCAAAGCCGGCAGGAGAGGGTCTCTCTGTTTAGAAAGGGCTCAATGCTTCTTTTAAGGAATCTCACCTGATAAAGTCAGGCCCATCCAGGATAGCCTTCCTTTTGATTAATTCGAAGTCAGCCGATTAGTGAGTGACCTTAATTACATCATCAAGACACCTTCAGCCTTGCCATATAATGTAAACTAATCACAGGAGTGTCTTAATCAGAAGTCCCATGCTCCCCTTTTATTCAAAGGGAGGGAATTTATGTGGCATGTATACTGGGGGCTAGGAATCAGGGGCCATTCTAGAATCCTACCTACCCATGTGAGGTGAAGAACAGCTCCCTCTGAGGGCGTGAGTCTTACTGAGATAATTAGGGGAGGCTGTATGGAAATGCATCAGGAGCTCAGCAGAGGTGAGCTTCCTTTCTTTCTGTATGCAGGACCTCATAATATGCAGGCATCCAAGCAGCCATTTCTTTTTTTTTTTTAATTGCATTTTAGGTTTTGGGGTACATGTGCAGAACATGCAAGATAGTTGCATAGGTGCACACGTGGCAGTGTGATTTGCTGCCTTCCTCCCCTTCACCCATATCTGGCATTTCTCCTCATGCTATCCCTCCCCAACTCCCCCCACGCTGTCCCTCCCCTCTTCCCCCCAACAGACCCCAGCGTGTAGTGCTCCCCTCCCTGTGTCCATGTGTTCTCATTGTTCAACACCCGCCTATGAGTGAGAACATGCGGTATTTCATTTTCTGTTCTTGTGTCAGTTTGCTAAGAATGACGTTCTCCAGATTCATCCACATCAGCAGCCATTTCTTAACACCTCTTTTGCTTCTCTTTACCCAAAGGATCTCCTCTTGGGCCTGATTGCTGGTATTTTTCTCTTCAGCGAAGTTGAGAATGAAAGATAGGGGAAATAATGTGTGGTTTAACAGCATTATCCATTGATAGTTAAGAGATTTCCATTATGAGTCCGTAACTGTGGTTCTTGATTTCTGTTTTTAGCAGGCTATTTTCTTTCCTTTTTTCTTTTCTTTTTTTTTTAGATAAAGTCTTGCTGTCACCCAGGCTGGAGTGCAGTGGAATGATCTCGGGTCACTGCAACCTCCGCCTCCCAGGTTCAAGCGATTCTCCTGCCTCAGCCTCCTGAGTAGCTGGGATTACAGGCAGGCACAACTACGCCCAGCTAATTTTTGTATTTTTAGTAGAGATGGGGTTTCACCATGTTGGCAAGACTGGTCTCGAACTCCTGACCTCAGGTGATCCACCCGCCTTGGCCTCCCGAAGTGCTGAGATTACAGGCGTGAGCCACCACGCCCAGCCTGCAGGCTATTTTCTAACAGTTTGATTTGCAAATTTCCACCCCTGTGAATATTCTGCTTTGAGATTATTCTAGAAAACATTTAGATAACAGGGGAGGACAGGTTGGAACAGCATATTACAGGGCTTAGTAACCTCACCATTGTCACCTTGGGACTGTGTGTATGTCTATGTGTCCACATTGTTTTTGCTGTGTGTGTAATATGCTGTATGCACACATGGACTTGTGCCTTCTGTGTGTGGATGTTCTGTGTGTGTTCATGTGTGCATGTTGCATGCGTGTACATTGCATGTGTGCATGTGCACACATGCATGCACGTGCACACATAGGGGTGCACACACTGTGCATATGTGTGTATATCGTAATGCATACATGTATGCACCTATGGGTTCATATACACATTGTGTGTGCATATGTGCCTGTACACATTACATTGCATACACATGTAGGTGCATGTTCAGTGTGTCCATTTCTCATGCGCTGCCTCTCCTCTCTCCAGTCTGCTGTAGAGTGCAGCAACCTTCTGCGGACCCTCCATGGCCTGGAACAGGAGCACTTACGGAAGTCTCTTGCTTTGCAACAAGAAGAAGACTTTGCCAAAGCTCACAGGCAGCTGGCTGTTTTCCAGAGAAACGAACTGCACAGTATCTTTTTTACCCAGATAAAAAGTGCTCTTTTCAAAGGGGAATTGAAGCCAGAGGCGGCTAAAATACTGCTGCAAAATTATTCTAAAATACAGGTAATGCCTCAAATCAGCCTGGCTGTGATGGAAGAGTAATTTTTCTGAATCGTTTCAGTAAATGTCTCCTCTCTCAGTGTTCACTCCTGCCTCTCCTTTGGACTGTGCACTAGTGAGCTTTCTCTTCTTTCTGTCTCTTGGTGTGTGGGTTTCTAGTAAGCAGGGCAACTGGTGGCTTGGAGTACAGGCCTTGAACTCAGGCTGGTCGGGATTTAAACTTCCATTCCACCACTGGTCTACTGCGTGAACTTGAGCAAGCTTGTAAGATGAGTGTAAAAGAATGCACGCTCACCGGGTGTGATAGAAGTTTGATGAGCTGACTCATCGAAAGTCAGTGCTTGGCATAAGGTATGTTTAATGTGTACAGCAGTGGAAAATAAATACAGGACAGGCCTGGTGCGTCCCAGTACTTTGGGAGGCCAAGAAGGGAGGATTGCTTGGGTCCAGGAGGTTGGGGCTGCAGTGAGCCGTGATAGCACCACTGCGTTTCAGCCTGAGTGACAAAGCCAGACCCTGTCTCAAATAAATAAATAAATAAATACACACACACACACACACACACACACACACACGCATGTATGTGTGCATGTATCGATGTTCGTGTGGGGTTTAGTATCTGCCTGGATATACTTGGATGGATTTGTGTATTTTTGCAAGTCAGTTTGAGTGTGAATGTTGTTAGTCCAGCAGAACAGTTTCTTAGGCGATAGTGAAAATCATCTATGTGAAACTGAACATCACTGTGGAATTTCTCAGGAGGCATGCACGAGGCAGTTTACAGGCACAAGTGCGTGCACGCACAGGCACACAGTGGCATCACTGCTTTACAAGAATGTGCTTCGTAGTTTGGCTTCAGCACTGTCACTGGTGCTGATGGTAAGGGTGGTTGTGAACAACTCTTACTTTACAGAATGTTCTATCTTGACTGTTAATAAAATGTTTGACAAATGCAAATGTCATTCTTTAGACAGGCTGCCTCTTCCAGATTGTGAGCCAAGCCCTGTTTCTAAAACAGCAAAGGCACCTTTGGTTGGTGCTGGAGGTCTTGAGGCGTCATCCAGCACACTCAGGTCCAGAGGGGCTGATTTGTTCCTCAGTCCAGTAATGTGTTCACAGTCATGAGTGCATAACTGTGGTTCTTCCGCAATGCTTTTTCTGATGTAGTGGACACTGCTATTTCAGTGTTGTCTTTATAAGTGAAAATCATTCCAGAAAGTTGGCTTGCTGGTTAGTTTTCCCACCTTGAAATTCCCTACTAGAAGGACAGATTCCACCCATAGCAGAATGAGCCACGTCCACCTAGGGTGAATCAGGGATTATGAGCAGCCTCTGCTACTCCATTGCTAAGACAGTGGCAAAAAATGGACTGGAACATCCAGAGGAGGTGCGGGCATGGGCGGCCATCCCTGCATCTGCGAGCAGGTCCTGAGCATTCGCCTTATCACTGACAAAGACAAAGGCTGCCCCTGCCCATCCTCCGGGGACTTAGGGCCAGCACCAGGCTGAATACATGAGGGCCGGGGACATCAGGGTGTCCCAGGAGGAGACCAAGTCATCATCACAAGCCTCCCACTCTCAGAAGGCACCCAGGACATAAAGAGAACGAGCTCCCGCTCCATTTAATCTAGGTTTTTCCCACTGAATTCTCAGTGAGCGTACATAAAGCATAGATTCTGTTGTATTCGTAGCTCGGTATTCAGACACTATGGCATTACTTAGATATTCGCAGAGTGTACCCTCGTGATGAGCAGTGTCTGACTCTCAATGCCACCGCACTCAAGTTAAAAAGAATGCATGCTGTCGTGAATGATACTGTGCTAAATGAAGTAACTTCACAGGTGATCACAGTACTGCCGCACAGGCTTTTTGGACCAGAGCTATGAGAGTATTTCAGGATGCCCATTCTGAATTTCCCTATGGGCTTGGCTCCCATCAATCAACACACGTGGACCCCGTTCCGTGGAGAACAGGAACATTGCCACAACCTTCCTGCTATATGGATTCTGGTGCAGTGGCTCTTAGGGGGATGCTAGTGTGAAGCCACACCTGACTGACCACAAAGCTTTTCACCCAATGGATGGTACTAATTCCCAAGTGTTGAGATGTGGAGCTGCCACAGTGGAAATGAGAGCGGCCATGCCTTCGTGTGTTCCCGGCTGAACGAAGCATTGCCACAGTGGAAATGAGAGCGGCCATGCCTTCGTGTGTTCCCGGCTGAACGAAGCATTGCCACAGTGGAAATGAGAGCGGCCATGCCTTCGTGTGTTCCCGGCTGAACGAAGCATTGCCACAGTGGAAATGAGAGCGGCCATGCCTTCGTGTGTTCCCGGCTGAACGAAGCATTGCCACAGTGGAAATGAGAGCGGCCATGCCTTCGTGTGTTCCCGGCTGAACGAAGCACTGACTCTTGAGTTTATCCGTTGTATGAGTGATGTTTCCAGAGACGGAGAAAAGACAGCCAAGCCAGTCCATGGGGTAGTTCTTCAGATGTTCCTGGTCTCATTTCTATTACTATGCCTCTGGTTAAAGCAGGGATTTTGGAAGCAGCCTCTTCTAATGTTAGAACACAGGTCCCGGAATTAGATTGCCGAGTTCAAATCCCTGCTCAGCCATTTACCAGTTGTCTGATGTGGACTCGGTTTCCTTGTCTGTGAAATGGGAATAATAATACTGTCTCACTGGGTTAAGTTAGATGAGCCAGGAAACACTCTTGGCCCAGTCTCAGGTCCGGAGAATGCACCTCATATTAGCTAGGTCATTACTCACCCATGTTTAAACGGGTTTTGCTCATTTTGTACTGTGCAGTGGTAGGAGCTCCTTGGGGTTGGGCTGATGGCTGACTTATCCCAGAACTTCAGCACCTCATCCTGGTGCTCAGCACTTGTGGGAACTCCACAGGTGGGAGGGGTGCGTGCATGAGTGAAGGATGAATGGCTGAGTGAGTGAAATGTATGCTCTGTAGGGCAGTAAAGTTGTTCTGATAACTTTACCATCAGGGTCTAGAACGCATTTTTCAAACCCCTAATTTCTTGTTCGTATGTAATTTTCTCATAAGCCTTTGTTGCAGGCAGGGAGGTTAAAGGTGTTAATTCTCATGTTTCTTTTCTTGTGTATTTCTTATAAAAGGAAAAATCATATTTTAAACATCTAGAAAGGATTATGCTCTGAATTTTAATTAGGCGTATTTTGTTGATTTTTTTTTTTTATTGACAGGAGAATGTAGAAGAGTTAATGGACTTTTTCCAGGCTAATAAGAGGTATCATCTGAGCAAAAGATTTGGCCACAGGGAATATCTGGTCCAGAACCTACAGTCATCAGAGACCCGTGTGCAGGGCCTTCTGAGCACTGCCGCAGCCCAGCTGACCCACCTCATTCAGAAGCACGAGAGGTACCATTCACTACTGTCCCAACAGTGCAAACTGTCTTAGTCTGTTTCCTGCTGCTGTAACAGAATACCACAGACGGGGTAATTTAGAAATAGGAGAGATATATTTGGTTCACCGTTCTAGAGGCTGGGAAGTTCAAGACCTAGCGAGGGCCTTCTTCCTTCCTCATAGCAGGGTAGAGGGGCATCATGTGGGAGGAAGTGCATGTGTGAGAGAGAAAAAGGGAGCCAAACTCCTGTGATAACTAACACAGAAATGGCATGAATCCATTCATGAGTCCTCATGACCTAATCATCTCCTGAAGGCCCCATCTCTTAATAATGTCACAGTGGCAATTAAATGTCAAGTTTTGGAGGTGACATTCACAGCATGGCACAAATGAACTGCCTCACACAAACCTTCCTCACTGGAGACCCGCACTTCTGTTTATTCAGCGTATGTGCTGGCTGTTTCTCACTTATCATTTCTTTCTTTCATTTATTTTTTTGAGACAGAGTCTCACTCTGTCACCCAGGCATGATCTTGGCTCCCTGCAACCTCTGCCTCCGGGGTTCAAGCAATTCTCTGCCTCAGCCTCCCAAGTAGCTAAGATGACAGGTGCCCACCACCATACCTGGCTAATTTTTGCATTTTTAGTAGAGATGGGGTTTCACCATGTTAGCCAGGCTGGTCTTGAACTCTTGACCTTGTGATCTACCCTGCTCAGCCTCCCAAAGTGCTGGAATTATAGGCGTGAGCCACCATGCCTGGCCACTTATTATTTCTTAAGAATTATCTTTTTGTAAAAAAAGTGTTATAGAATTTTAAAAGCATATGCAATAGTCTAGTGTTATAGAATTTTAAAAGCATATGCAATAGTCTAGACAAATGTATGAGCCCCTTCAGCAGGTGTTCATGGCCAATTTTGATGTGGCTATACATCCCCACCCTGGATTATTCTGAAGCAGAATCCCAACAACATGTTCTAGAGAAATCAGTGACGAGGCTCACATCGACCATGCGATGGAAGAGCCCACTTCTCCTTAAGATCTGGCACACTGCTGGCTCTTGCATTCACCTTTGACACTAAGTATCAATACAGAGATGCTTGTCTCGGATTCCAAATGGTTTTTCTAAGCAGCACCTGGGATTCCGTGTGGTCAGGCATATGGTGGTGTCACAGTTCTAAGTGCCATCACCTGCCTCTCTCCAGCCTTCCTTCTCAGCTATTGTTTGTGGTGACTTAATTGTACACAACAAAATTTATCCTTTTAGGTTACAAGAAGCTCTGAAATGAAGAGGGGCATGACTGTAAAGTGGCTTTCTTATAACGACCTGTTGTTTTGCTGTGGTTCTGCTTCTTAGGTAATCTTATTGGGACTTTGCCCCTCTCCTGCTCTGTTTAATGAGGATTCGGTAAGGTGCAAATTATGCAAACACTCCCCACCTAAAGATGCTAATGAATTTATCACTGCAATTGACTTGATATTCCTGATTTTGATTTGCACTCAAGTGGAAGCACCAGTTCTTTGCCTTGAATTGAAGGGCCCACCAGCTGGTTGTGAGCAATCACCAGGGAAAGATGTTTTATCTCTTATTTTTAAATTCTATTTTAAAAGACCTCATTATATTTCTAAAGCATACATCTACTACTGATTCCTTCACCTGTTCATTCCTTCAAGAAACCTCCATTGAGAGTCTTCCTTGGGCCAAGCTGGGGACTCAACCTATGGACACATGCAGTCTAGGAATGATAGTGGTAATGCTAGTGGCAGAGGGTACTCATCAGGGTGCTCCAGGGAAACAGAACCAATAGGCTATATAAACATATAGACAGCATCGTCTGTTGTTTCCAGCTTACCATCCAAATCGCTTCCTACACAAACAGGAACTAGCTCAAGCAATTATGGAGGCTGAGAAGTCTCATGGTCAGAAGTCCCAGCTGTCTGCAAGCTGGAGACTCAGGAAAGCCAACTGTGTAATTCAATCCGAATCTGAATGCCTGAGAACCAGAGGAAGCTGATGGTGTAAGTCCTAGTGCAAAGGCAGGAGAAGATGAGATGAGAGGTCCCACCATAGCTGTAAGGCAAAAAAGAAGGGACAGATTCCTCTTCCCTCTGCCTCTGTGTTCTAGTCAGGACCTCAGCATATTGGATGATGCCCGCCCACGCTGGGGAGGGCCATCTGCTTTACTGAGTCCACTAATTCAAATGCTGATCTCCTCTGGAAACAGGCACTCCCAGAAAGAACATTTCATCTGGGCCGATCAAGTTGGTCCATAAAATTAACTGTCACGCAGAGTATTCCCTGTATTTGTCTCTTTGACTTTGTTCTGTTCTTGATGCCAGGATTTTTAATCCACCATCTCCCCTTGGAAGCTTCTGTCTGCACCGGACTGGTCCTCTTAAATGTTTCTTTCCCCCAGAACGCTTGCCAGCTTCCACCCTAATGCTGCCTCTCTTGTGCCGAGCTTTCTCTGCCCTTCCTCTGCTAGTACTTTGGTAATGTCTTAGCTGCCCATTCTCCTAATTCTTCTGGAGGGCAAAGATTTTTTGATTCAAACCAAACTAATTTGGAGATAACTGTTCATGTACAATAGCAGTTAAGCTGCAGGAGAGTTTGGAGACCACATTTGTAACCTTACATCTTTTCCGTCTAGAGCGGGGTACCTGGATGAAGACCAAATGGAAGTGCTGTTGGAACGGGCTCAGACAGAAGTCTTTTCAATCAAGCAGAAGTTGGACAATGACTTAAAGCAGGAAAAGAGAAAGCTCCACCAAAAACTAATACTTAAGAGAAGACGAGAGTTGCTGCAAAAGGTATGTAAGGCATGATACTGTTTATTCTTCCCATAAGCACTTTCTAATACCCATCAAGTGCCAGGTACTGTGCCAGCCATTGCCATTGGTGCACTAGGATGAGAAGGGCAGCTGTGTAGTCATCATGATGTGCCATCTACTGTTGATTGGTAGTGACTTTCTGGAATGCTGTGTTCAGCAGGCGCTGCAGTAGCATCAAGTTCTTATCCAGCCCCAGCATAGCAGAGGGTCATGGTAGACTAGTAATGTCTGCATAGGCAAGGGAATAGGAGTGCTGGTTTGAGTGATTAATGATGATGATAGGTGTTAACTTTTATTGAGTGCTTCCTTAGCACTGTGCTAAGTGTGTTATATAAGATACCTTGTTTAATCTTTATATTAACCCTATGAGGGAGATACCACTGGGGTGTGTGTGTGCGTGTGTGTGTGTGGTCAGGGTCAAATATCTAGTAAGTGGCATGCATGGCATGCATTTGGAGTCTCCTAAGAATATGATGAGGCTGGAGAGTGCAGAGGGAGGAGGGTAGGGCCTGGAAGGGATTGCAGTACCAAGTTAGTGGAGGCATGGTGTGTCAGGCTAAGTGGTTACCTTTCATCCAAGGACAGTAGGGAATGTTAAAGGGTCTTCAGCAGGTGAGAGAGAGAGACCAGATCTGTGATTTAGGAAGCTGAGGTGAGCAGCATGTAAGATGGAGTTGAGGAACCTGGGAACACAAACCCCATGAAGTCTCTGGTACTTGGCCAGGTGTGAGCAGATGAGGGCCTAAACTGACACAGAGCCCTGTGTACAGGGGGGTAAGGACAGGTTCAGGGAGAACTGTATGGGACATGCTGGATGACACCCCAGTAGTTGGTTGGTACCATTTACGGGGAGGGGATGAAGAATAACTTTCAAATTTGATCAATAGAAACTCTGCTCTTTGTTACCAAGTTTGGGACCCAAGTGAAAGCCATGATTCTGACCTTGATCGTGGATGCACACCCCATCTTTGAGCATCACACCATTCATCTCTGAGCCACTGTTTAAGGGATTAAAACGGAGGGGTCCAGGGCTCCACTTCCCTACGGTCTTGATCCAAAGTCAGTGTCTAGAAAGAAGGATGGATCCCACATCCTATAGGAGATTCTGGCAGTCTTCTGTGAATGTTGTTTCTTGTAGCTACTTTTGACCCAGAATTAGGATGTAGCTCCACGATTGCATCCCCACTGTTGAGGACACTGCCTGACACCTGGTAGGTGCTCAGTACATATTTGTAGAATGAATGAATGGACACTCTCCAGTCACCAGGACCCATGAACATGGATTATGATAGATTAGTAATGTCTGCATGGGCACAGGAATAGGAGTGCTGGTTTGAGTGACTAATGATAATGATAACTAACATTTATTGAGTGCTTACTTCGGAAGAGCATCTTATGTTCTCTCAAAATAGAACCAAGACTATCTGTGAACCCACTGTTATACACCATAATGGACATTTTATGCAGCTCAATTTTTTTTTCCACTACAGGGGCCTTTGCACCTACTGTTCTTTCTCCCAGGAAGGTTCTTTCTCCATTACTTAACCTGGTTCAGATGAGACCTCCTTCCTTAGGTCTCACTTAGATCTTCTTCCTTAAAAGCTTCACTGACCTCCTTAGTTAAGTTGTCTCAATGATCTTAGCTTTTTGGTTCCCCCTTTATAATATTACACCTTGCAGATCCTGTGTGCCTAGCACATAGGAATAACACTAACAGATACTTACTGGCATAAACTACTCTACGTCTGGCACTTTTCTAAGAGCTCTACATGTATTACGTAACGCACATAATCCTCACAACTTATTCTGAGAGGGAAGTCCTATTATTATCCTCAGTTTACAGCTGTGAAATGGAGGCTTTGGGTCACTCAGCTTGTGAGTGGTGGAGCCGGGACTGGAACCCAGGCAGTCTGCCAACTGGGCTTTACCCACTCATTAAATACCTGTTCAGTGAATGGTGAGTGCATAAGGGTTTCACTGTATTTTTTTTTTTTTAAACAATAACTTTCTAGGCCTGGCACGGTGGCTCACAGCTGTAATTCTAGCACTTAAGGAGGCTGAGGTCAGGAGTTCAAGAGAAGCTCGGCCAACATGGTGAAATCATCTCTACAAAAAATACAAAAATTAGCTGGGCATGGTGGTGCACACCTGTAATCCCAGCTACTGGGGAGGCTGAGGCAGGAGAATCGTTTGAACCCAGGAGGCTGAGGTTGCAGTGAGCCGAGATCATACAACTGCACTCCAGGAGGGGTGACAGAGGGAGACCTCATCTCAAAATAATAAAATAAATTATTATTTTAAAAAAATTAGCCTGGTGTAATGACTCACGTGCCTTTAATTGCAACTACTCGGGTGTTTGAGGCACAGAATCACTTGAACCCAGAAGGTGGAGGTTGCAGTGAGCGGATATCTCACCACTGCACTCCAGCGTGGGCGACAGAGCAAGATTCTATCTCAAAAAAAAAAAAGGAATAACTTTCCAAATATGAGATTGTTGGGGAAAAGTCTATAAACATTCTGTGCCTCCCGCAATAAAGTGTTTCAGCCAAAAGGCTGTACCCGCCAAGCTCCGCCCCAGCCTAATTTTCTTTTTTTTTTTTGAGACGGAGTTTCGCTCTTGTTACCCAGGCTGGAGTGCAATGGCACGATCTCGGCTCACCACAATCCCCGCCTCCTGGGTTCAGGCAATTCTCCTGCCTCAGCCTCCCGAGTAGCTGGGATTACAGGCACGCGCCACCATGCCCAGCTAATTTTTTGTATTTTTAGTAGAGCCGGGGTTTCACCATGTTGACCAGGATGGTCTCGATCTCTTGACCTCGTGATCCACCCTCCTCGGCCTCCCACCTAATTTTCTTTTCTGGAACTCGGCCAGCACCGGGAGCAGCGGAGGGAGCAGCTGTCCATTGGCGAGGCCTTCCAGGCGGCCGAGGATGCCGGCCAGTACCTGCGCCAGTGGAGGAGCCTGATGGAGGACCACGGTGCCGCCCTGGAGGAGCTGCAGGAGCATCTGGACCAGGCCGCCCTGGACGATCTCAGGGCCCTGACCCTGTCGCTGTTCGAGAAGGCCACCGACGAGCTGCGGCGCCTGCAGAACTCGGCCATGACCCAGGAGCTGCTCAAGCGCAGTGTGCCCTGGCTCTTCCTGCAGCAGATCCTGGAGGAGCACGGCAAGGAGATGGCCGCGCGGGCCGAGCAGCTGGAGGGAGAGGAGAGGGACAGGGACCAGGAGGGTGTCCAGGGCGTGAGGCAGAGACTGAAGGACGACGCTCCCGAGGTGTCCACGGAGGAGCAGGTGGAGCTGAGAGGCTGGGAGCGCCTGATCTTCATGTGAGTGTCCCCACGGGTCCTCATCACCTCTCCCCACCCTGTGGATGCAGGGGAGATTCCTGCCCTGTGGTTGTGGGGGTGGCCAAGCCTGAGACTCCTGGCCCCAGACAGATGATTGACAGCGTTAATAAATCACATAAACTCACTTCCCTCCGGGACCTCACATGTCACGCAGGACCTACAAGGATTGAGCAGAGGGCAGAACAAGGGCCGTGGGCTTTGTAGTGAGGAGAGGATGGGTGGCCCCTGGCTCCCAGGGGAAAATGTGATTGGCTTGCCCAAATAATTCCCTGGGCTGAATAAGTCCAGGGAGCTACACAGGGATAAATGGGAATGTGCTGGTTTCCTTAATAGAAAGTGTCCTCTGGGGAGAGGACATTATCCACAGAAGCAGAGTGGGAAGGGGAGGCTGCAGTGAGGCCATTCCAGGCCCTGCTGATTTCACCAGGCTCAAGGCTGCACATGATCTTGGCCTTCGTGTGAGTTCTTCCACCACGCTGTATCATCTTTTCGCCTGGCCCTTTCATCCCTGGTCCATTTCTTGGGCTATGTACCTTTATTATTATTACTATTATCATTCTTATTATCTTGAGATGGAGTATTAAGGGACCTCTGGCCCTTTCCCATCTCTCTCTTCTGTGATTCTGGCCTCATTTATCTTTTAAAGCTTTGTTAGGTTTTGCTTTCTTGACAAGGAAAACAAGACGCTGTCTCTCTTAGTCCATAAAAATCCGTTCCTTAAATGCCATTTCTTATTCCCAGGAATTGCCCTCTACAGTATTTATTCAGCCTAGTCTACATTCCAGGAAATTCTCTTTTCATGTTCAAACCAACTTTGGACTCTTTGTAGCAAGTGAATTAGTTGTGGCATTTCTATTACCAGCTGGTCATTTTCTTCCACTTCATTTGGATTCATTTTGCAGGGAGTATTACTAAAGCCTCTGCTGATGTAGCCATTTAATGGGGGCAAAGAGAACTCTCACTTGGCTATCAGAAACGTGTATGATTTCTCCAAGGGTTAAAGAGGATCACCTCACAATGCACGCAGTGTGAGTCTGCTTACATACTTCGCTTAGTTAAGATTCTAAAAGGTTGCAGCCTTTGCTTCCCAGGCATTATGCAAAAATGGCTTTGCACAATAGACTTGAAACACCTTTTTAGAAGCTTTCCAATTTCAGCCAAGATGGGGTTCTTGTAAAACTGGCTGGCTAAAGTGGGAATTAATGAGGAATATCTTTGCTAGAGAAAGTGTTTCTTTGAGCCTTCTTTCCTAAGTTCTTGTCTTGATTTTAAACTCCTTCGGGGCAAAGATCTCGCCTCTTGTATTTCTGTGTTCTCTTGGTACTTACGTAACAGAGACTGCTAAGGGCCGATCTGGTTTGAAAGTGGCAGGAATAATGACTGAGAGTCATCTCAGAGCTGCTTTCACTTCGGGTTCCACGTAACCAGCAAAGAGCGGGGCGAAGGCTTTGCACTAGGGAAGGTACAAGGGAGCTGCTGCAGTTTCCAGAGGTTGCTTTAAAAATCACTGGGCCCCATGAAGTGAGGAACCCAAGGCGGGTGTCACATGACGCGGGGTCAGGCCTTCAGACTGTTTCCAGCAGAGGGCCCGCGTGGTCTCTGAAGGCCTCATTCTCTTTCCCCAAGAGTCCTTTTTAGCCGAGCCACGGCACAACATTCCCACGTTGAGATCTGGGTATGGTAAGCTTGACTCTGGCCAACCAGGTTGGGTGTTCTACAGATAATTCTAAATTTTAAAGCATCTGTCAATGCTGGCTGTATTGACAGAACATCCAAACAAATCTATAGAGAATCTCTGTTCAGTGAATAAATCTGTCCAGACTTTCTGAGCAGATTTCCTCTTACATTTCATGGGTCAGAACCAGCCACCTTGAGGCTGAGAAAGCAATTGTGTAGCCTTTGTCTCTTTTAGGGCTGTTGGCCTTGCTAGAAAGGAAGAGGGACTGTTTATCCCTTCTTTTTGTCTGTCATTTGGTGTAAGGAGCAGCAGTGATGTAGGTCAATGCATCTGTTTCTTAGCACTACCATAACAAAGCACCACAAACTAGGTGGCTTAAAACAACAGAAGTATATCCTCCCACTGTTCCGAAGCCCGGAAGTCCAAGATCAAGGCGTTGGCAGGACCGTGCTCACTCTGAAGGCACCAGGGGAGGATCTGTTCCATGTATTTTCTTAGCTGCTGGTGTTGGCGGCAATCCTTGGCATTCATTGGCTGGTAGACGTCTCACCCCAATCTCTGCCTCTGCATCAGATGCCCTCCTTGCGTGTTTGTCTCCTTTCTCATAAGGACACCAGTCACATTGCATGAACGGCCCACTGTGTCCCAGTAGAGCCTCATCTTAGCTCACTTCTTAAGTACGTCTGCAAATACCCAGTTTCCAGATAAGCTGACATTCACAGGTCCCAGGTTAGGACTTGAATATATCTTTTTGGGAGCCACAATTCAACCCATAACACGAAGTCCCTCAGCATGGTTCCCAGTATGGAATCGGTTTTCACTGAATGATAGCTGTCAATCGTCAACCTTCAGAACCAAGCACAAGGGACTCCCATTTCCCTGACCTCCCTGAGCTCAGTATTGTGTGTCTCTCCTCTGTCCATTGGTTCCACATAGAGAATGCTCCTGACCAGGCCCCGCAGACAGCACTTTGTTTTCATGTCTGTTTGTGAAGTGAGACCAGGTTATTTGCAAGATCATGGGTACTGGAAGGCCTACTTCCTCCTCAGTGACACCCCGATAGCCTTACCTCACTCAGTTCTCATTCTTAGCTCCAATACGATGTCCTACGCAGCACAACATGCATTAGGTGCTTAAGGAACGCCCCATGATTAAGGAGCCAATGCTTTTTCTCCAGATGTGGATTTGAGGAATGAGTTTTGCATCTCTGGCTTCACCACCCCAGCCCAGCCCCCAGGCTTTCTCTGTGTAAGAGTGAATCTCTATTCTTCCTCCCAGGAAGCTCTGCTCCTCAGTCTTCTCCCTGTCTGAAGAGGAGCTGCTCAGGATGAGGCAGGAGGTCCATGGCTGCTTTGCTCAGATGGACAGGAGCTTGGCCCTCCCCAAAATCCGGGCCCGAGTTCTGCTGCAGCGATTTCAGACTGCGTGGCGAGAAGCAGAATTCCTGAAGCTGGACCAGGCCCTGGCGGCCCCCGAGCTGCAGGTAGGATGGACGTGTCAGTTGCCTCTTGATTACAGAAGTGGGGCTGTCTCCCAGCTACAGACCCGACAGGGTCTGGCTTCTCCACCACCCTGAGCCCATCTCACCTCACGCTCCCCTATCCTCTCCTCTCTGGCTACGTTAGTGTCCAGCTGTTCCAGGAATCTCCAGGGCTGTCCCAACTTTAAAGTTTATAGTAGACACCACTGGTGCTGCGCCCTGATCCTGACGCCCGGGCTGTTGCGCCATCCACCAGCAGCCATAAACTTTAGTCTCGTCCAGCCACGATCTTTTCCTGATGGAAGCTGCCTCGCCTGAGATATTGCTCTGTCTCTCCTGACCTCTCCTCCACATAGCTAATGACTGACTCTGGGTACAAAAGACCTTTCTATATGGCGTAGAGGAGGGATGCTTAACTCAGCTCAGGTGGGTCAGGGAAAGAGGGGCTCTTGCACAGGGTCTGCCAGCTGCCGTTTAGTGAGCAGCTATTATGAGCCTGAGGGCAGACAACTCTTTAGTGTAGTTTCTGCTCCAGAGCCCCCAGGGACCAGTTTAGGCTCGACTTTGCCTGAGACCACAGCCTAGCTTGGCTCTCCCCTTTCCTGTCCTGTTCCCTTGTTCCCCAACAGGTTGATCCTAAAGAAACCTCCTTCAGGAAGCTGTGTGCACGTAATCCCTGCCTCAGGCTCCACTTCTGGGGATCCCAACATAAGGCGTGGCCTTCAAACTTCTGTTTTCTCTGCCATGTACATGCTTTGTAGTCCATTGAGGTCTCAGCTCAAATGCCACCTCCACCAAGAAGCCTTCCTTGAGCACCTGTCCAAAATCACCCTCTCCCTAGGCATTCTTTGTCACATGCTGATTTCATGATTTTATTTATCATTATCTGAAATGTGCTGGTTCCTTGATTTCCCCATTGTCCGGGCTTCCACTAAAAATAAGCTCCCTGGCCCATTCACCATTCAGGAGTACCAAGTGCGTGGTAGGTGTGCAATAGATGTTGCTGGCTCAAACATCCCACTAGCCAAGCACCAGATGTGTGCTAAACATTGGGGCTTCTCTTAAGATAATAATATGTTGAGATTGAAAACATTAAAATCACGGAAGCTTCGCAGCAGTGCTAAGAGATCAATATGATGTCCCATTTTACAGCAGAGCAGCAGAGGAAAAGTGAGTGGCCCTATTGGAAGGAGAGAACAGGGCTGGGAGCTGGTGTTTCCTGACTTTAAACTCACTTCTTTTCCTTTAGAGAAATAAAAAACTCAGACATATTCTTTCTGAGTATAAACCAGTGGATGTAGAAACAACTTGGAAGCTCTTATATTCTTTTAATTTTTTTTTTTTTTTTTTTTGAGACGGAGTTTCGCTCTTGTTACCCAGGCTGGAGTGCAATGGCGTGATCTCGGCTCACCGCAACCTCCGCCTCCTGGGTTCAGGCAATTCTGCTGTCTCAGCCTTCCGAGTAGCTGGGATTACAGGCACGTGCCACCATGCCCAGCTAATTTTTTGTATTTTTAGTAGAGACGGGGTTTCACCATGTTGACCAGGATGGTCTCGATCTGTTGATCTTGTGATCCACCCGCCTCAGCCTCCCAAAGTGCTGGGATTACAGGCTTGAGCCACCGCGCCTGGCCCTCTTTTAATTTTTTTTTATGTCCTTTTTTTCCCCCCATTTCTGTTCTTACAAGGATATGGGAGATACAGCATGTGTGATAGTTAAAGAGTAAGGGATACATTATCAAAAATTTCAAATATTTTGGAACAATAGGGGAAAATAATTTCCACATCACCGAAATGAGGGGAGGGAGTCCATGACCCGCTGCTCCCCCTGCCTTGAAGCTGGTGAGTCCCAGTGGGAATGAGGTTTCTGCCTTCAGAGTCGCCCAGGATACTTGGTTTTCAGATGCAAATGGCTTTGGCCACGGCCTCAGAGGGGCAGACGTCATCTTCCCTGTCATGAAGGCGCTCGCTCCACGTGGACCAGCAGGGCCAGGCTTTGCACGGACGGAGCGGCAGCTCCCTTCTCTTGCTCAGTCCCGAGATAGCAGCAGAGAGGTGGCAGGAGAGCCTGCTCTCGGTGTCCTGAGCACCAACGCCTGGGGATAAAATAGCTGCTTTAGTCTTCATGTTTTCATCTATAAAATGGGTGGAATGAGGGTGTATGGGGACAGGTGGAGCAACGGCAGTGTCAGCGGGTGCTTAGTGCATTCCCCATCCCTTGGCCATCCTCACCCTCCTGTGACGTCACCACCAGGGAACCCCCGCATTTCTTCCCTGCACACTTCTCTTTGATCTAGACCCGCAAAACAGATAGTGTCTACTGTTCAACCTCATCTGCTGGTGGCCCCCAGGGCTCCCAGACCATTCACAGACGTGAATTTCTAAGGCACTTGCAAACTCTAAAGAGACGTGTGAGTCAGATTCACCACCCTCTTCCTTCAGCCCTTTCTGTGGCTCTCTGGGCTGGGACACAAGTTCCAGCATGACCTCAAGGCTCCCTGTGGCCTGGCCCCTGACCAGTCCCATGCTGGGAGAGTCCTCAGGGGAGAGGGAAGGCGGGGAGGGGAATCCTGACTTGTAGCATGTGCCCATTTCCCTGGTGTAAATCCTCCTCTCAAGGCCAGTTTCAGGCTTGACGTCACTGCCTGGGAGTTGCAGGATGGGCTCCCTGCCCGGCCTTCTCTAGGGCTGTTTCCTCCCAGCCCCAGTCTATACCCCGGGCTCTGGGTCCTGCCCACCAGCCCGACTTGCCTCCCAGTATCCTCAGTTAGTTTTCATGTTTTCAGATTGTTTCCTCCACTGTCATGGAAGCATTGCAAGAACAAGGACCTCGCTCGTCACATCCCCGTCTCAGAGAGGCTGACGGCTCTGAGGTCCCATGGCTAGTTAGGAGGTGGACATGGCTTGGGTCTGCTGTCTGACTCCAGAGCTGAGGTTCTGCCCAGCAGGCTCCCTCTCCTCCCTTTGGTGGAAAGAGCCCACCAGTGTGTGTGAAGACCAAAGGCTCTGAAACTGAGCTCCTTCCTGAGAAACATACCTCTTTCCTCCCCTCTGGCCTAAGGCAGAGTTTTTCAGTTCCGGGAGCTGCAGAAACTTCTCTTGGGCTGTGAAGCCCTGCGCGGGCTGCGTGGACTTGCTGGGCATCACCTTCTTACCCGTGTCTTCCCCGACCCCTCTCCAGCCGCAGTCCAAGGTGAGAAAGTCACGATCCAAGAGTAAAAGCAAGGGAGAGCTTCTGAAGAAGTGCATCGAAGATAAAATCCACCTCTGTGAGGAACAGGCTGCTGAAGACCTGGCTGAAAAGGTCAGACTTCCGCTTCACCCGCCGTTTCTCTCTGCACATGGCGGGGCTCATAGCTGACGCAACTGACACATTTGCAGGCACACAGAGCCCTTGGGGGCTGTGCCGTCCCTTTCCACCCAACCGCTCATCCGCTCAGGTGCGATGGTAAGAAAGAATGGGAAGACCCTCCCCCTGGGCCCCGCTCCAGTGCCTTCTGCCTGGAACCCTCTCCCTCTACTTCTCAGCCTGGGGATCTCACAGTATCTTTCAGGCTTCAGCTTGGGTGCTGCCTCTATTGGCTGAGCCACTTGCTATATTTGTGCCTGGCTCTGTCCCAGGGTGTATGCATCTGCCGTTTCACCTCCAACACACTCTGTATCTCTCACACTCTCCTCCGTGCTCCCACAAGCTGACTGGGCTCTCCCTCCACCCTGTTTTTTGTTTGTTTTCTTTTGAGATGGAGTCTTGCTCTGTCACCCAGGCTGGAGTGCAGTGGTGTGATCTCGGCTCATTGAAACCTCCACCTCCCAGGTTCAGGTGATTCTCCTGCCTCAGCCTTCTGAGTAGCCGAGATTACAGGTGCCTGCCATCACACCAGGCTAATTTTTGTATTTTTAGTAGAGATGGGGTTTCATTATGTCGGCCAGGTTGGTCTCCAAACTTCTGACCTCAGGTGATCCACCCACCTTGTCTTCCAAAGTGCTGGGATTACAGGCGTGAGCCGTCACCTGGCCCAGCCCTGTTTTCCCGTGATGTTCTAGCCCACACTGCACAGGCTCCTAGGATGCTTTAACCTGTGTTCTCTCTTTCTGGAATGACTGTTCCACCTTTATTTACCTGGATAAGTAACTTTTGTCCTTTGCTGTGCTGAGGTGTTCCCTCAGCTCTTGGATATCTCCCCTTCCAAAACGCCGTCCCTGAACACCCTAGCTTTTCCCACTCACCTCACCCCACTTCCAGCTCCTTCTTACTATTAGCACATATCGCATGGTTAATTTGTTCCACAAGTATTTTGGGGAAAGCAACAGTATCCCAGGCATTGTGTCAGTGAACTCTGAGGTTGCAGCAGTGACTGAGGCAGCTCTGGTCCCTGCTCTCCAGTAGAGGAGAGCACCTGCTAGCCAGGGGAGATGGATGATCAACACTTAAAATGATAGGCTGCCGTCAGTGCTACTAAGGAAACAAAGAAGATGGCGTGAACTTCCAGGAGAAGTGGGCTGGAAGCAGGGTGGACTGTAGGTGGGAGAGGAAGCACGGTCTCCCTGCAGAGGTGCCGCTTGAGAGTAGAAGCCATGTGACCACAGCCTGGGTGCCTCTCTGCCTTCCCCAGCACCCTGCAAAGGGTGGATTCCCAAGAGGAGTATGCTCAGTGAATGCATGAAGCCATGTTTTAGAGCTGCCGTGTTGTTCTTACCTTCCGTCTATCTCCTTTTTCTAGTTTCTTTTGCTTTTTTTTATTTTAGTGCTGGTTTATTTCTCAGAACACAAATACGTGATCTCGTAGAAACTGCTCTGGGCACGGTCAGTGTCTCCTGTCAAGTGTGTCCAGGTTGTTGATGTTTTAAGGGATCCAGGAAGTGGCAACCCTATTCTTACCCAGGTTCTATAGGAAATTGAACAGTAAGACAAAGATTAGGCAGCTGGAGGCACAGTGTCATCTTCCCTATTGGTGAAGGCTAATTCAAGAGATACACATCAATGTGAGAGCTGCCAAACTACCTGAGAATTAAACAGGCTCCATAACCCAATCACAGTATCACTAGGAGGTTCCTGGGGAGGGGGGTACAGCCTACCCCTAGGGAAGCAGAAATCGCCATCCCAAAGAGAAGCAAGAGAGGGAAGCCAAGCTGTCCCAGTTTATTCCCAGCTTACAGCAAGAAGAGGAGAGAGCTGGAGAGGTGTTGTGCACATTGAGCTCCTGGCACAGGGAGGAGATCGCCATACTTGGGGGTGGAGGGGGCCTTTCCCCCAGTACCAGCTGCTTTGTGATCCTCCATAAGAGGCAAAACCCACCAGAGTGAAGGTGGCTGTTGTCGGAGAAGAGCTGCTCGTGAAGGGAAAGCTGGGGTTTGGTTTGGCAGAGGGAATGCGTATCCAGGACTGTGCTGGAGGCCGCAGTGCACAGAGGGAGCCCAGAGGGTTGAAGCCCTGTGACAAGGCTGCTTTTCTGGAGTGTGGGGTCACAGCCAGGGAAGGGGAAGCAGCTGCATGGAGGAACCTGCTCAAAGGCCAGGCTGAGAAAGATGAGGGCCACCTCACCAGCACCCTGGGAGCAGAGTCACAGGATGAGTGTCTGGGGGACAAGGTGATGCAGAGGTGGTGACCCATGGGGACAGCAGGTGCAGACAGCACCACTCCCACCCAGCGGCTCAAGGCTGGGTCTCAGCATCCTCCCTAACCCTTCCCCGGCCCTATGTCATCTCCTCCTGCTCTGTCTCATAATTATTTCCAATCCGTCTCCTCCTGTTTCCGGCCTTGCCAAGCACCCTTTTTGCTGAGATGCATGCAGTGGGCTCCCTACTGTTTCCTGTTTGTTTCCTCTTCCTTCCAGTTGATTCTGCTACAGCAGGGAGTGTCCTCTTCCTAAAGCCCAGCTCCAATCCCTTATGGATCCCAAACCAGCAGATCCATCTCCTTTTTGCCCAAATTAGTCATTTTAATAGAAGGAACTAAGCACATTCCTTCCTGTATTTTTTTCTTTTTCTTTTTTTTTAAAAACCATGTCAACCTGAAATAATTGAAGGACTCTGCACCCAGTTTTTGAGAGTTTATCCAAGAGACAACCTGGGAATTGCCATCTGGGAAACAGAGTGCAGAGAAATGGGGTCAGCACTCTAAAGCTAAAAGTTAAGGTCTTAATTATATGGGAATAAAATAAAGAGATTTAACAGGATTACTACATTTTCTATACAAGGCTGGTTTTAAGTTACAACAGTTTAATTAGTTACAGTTTGTTTTCTTTTCTGTATGGCTTGTTTTCATTTCCTTTCCAATTTAGAAGAGTATATTTAACATTCCATCTTGGCAAATATGGTCCCCAGGAAGTCTGTGTGAGAGAGAAGAGGGAGGTGAGTCTGTAAGGAAGATCAGCAGTGCAGAGGAAGGGGTCTTTTCTGGCACCCTTTAGTCATTTACGGCATTTTACAAAACAACATAGGCTGGGAAGAAGGCTAACCTGTAATCAGGGAGACAGATGTTCAGCCACTTAGGTTACAGCTGCCCGTCGTGTGACTCAGGCCCTATAATCATGTTCCTTTCAGACTTACCCAATAATACGAAGTTTCAGCATTAGGTATCAGGCTGCTTATTTTCACAGCCGTTTACATTTTCTCTTGGTGGCAAGTATAAAATATTGTTTTCTCGGCCTTTTAATTTTTTTCTCTTTGTTTTTGTTCTGTTGAGGATTTTTGTTTTATTTAGAAATGTTTAAGGCTTTATATCTTTCATCACCCCATTTCTTTCTTAGTTTCGTTCCATTATGTTTTAGTTTTTAGTTCCAATACTCACACTGAAAAGACCTTAACCTCGTTCCTTCTGTCTGTCACCCACGGTCCTTCGGAAGTTTATTACTCTCCCAGGCCTCTGCTTTCATCATGTGTAAGAGAGGGCTCTGTGTCTAATTGCCTAGGCTTACAAGGTAATCAGTACACTGTACTGATAAAACATAGTGATATTAAAAGCAAAGCTGTTTCTAGACCTATCAAATTCCCATCAGATACCAGGCTTATTGCTAACGCTCTTCATGAGCATGAATCTCCATACTCATCACAATGCTACAAGAATGGCATCTTGAGGTCCATTCTAAGTTCAGAAAAGTTGGTTCCCAGCCCAGGGTCCACCACCAGGCATGTGATGAGACCTGGTCTGCCTGAGCCCTCTGTGCAGCGTCTCCTAGTTTACACTGGCATCCTGGTCCCGTGAAATTGGCTGGAGATACTAGTTATCACTTCTTTCATAGCATGAACAAGGGATCCAAGGCAGATGGGGAAGAGACATCTGAGGGTTTCTGTGGTGCAGAGGATACACACAGTGACAGCCTGCCTTGGGAATCCTTGTGTACTGGGTCACCTTATCCACTTGATGCGTGAGGGGCAGCATCACCAGGGGGCTGTATGACTCGTTCAGGACCATCTGACTAATGGGTGTGACCCTTACAACTCAAAGCCGTGTCCATTTGGATAGGAAGCCTGGGTCTTTCCAGCTTGCCCATCCAGTCTACCTGCCACACATTCATAGACACCTAGGGAAGTTCCACAGAAGGCATTTGGCAAAAAAAAAGAGAGAAAGTAAAGAAAGAAGGAGCAATTCATAACACACTGACCAAGAATAACAGGGTGCGAGAGTGAAGCTCGGCTGGACCAGGCGAAGGGCGCTGGAGGTCTGTGTTTCCCAGAGCCTGTCTCGTCACCCTCCCCTGCCCTGAGTTCACCTCTGCCATTTACATTTGGGGCAGACCTTTGTTTTACATCCCAGCCCCCACACACAAGCCAGACCCTTCACCTGGCCCTGGGCCGAAGACACAGCCATCTGCTTCAGCACTGGAGGAAGGACCGGCTGGTTCTTGCTCCCCAAGGTATTTCCAAGGGTGATTTACATTTCACTTTTGTCTTATGTGCTGATTGGAGAACTTAAGAAGTGATGGCTTGTGAATAAGAATGGTGCCTACTTCCTTCGTTTGTGCTTTAGTGCCAGGCACCTTGCTAGGCACTACATGTGTGTGGATGTGTACATCTTAATATATGCATAAGAGGGAGGTATAAGTATGTGTGGATGTGTACATATGAGCTATCCATATGTGAGTTCTATGTACAAGTACCTATATGTACACTCATAATCCACGCATATGCTAGTGAGGTATACTGAGAGCTAAGTGTTTTCCGTCTGTCCACTCTATTCCTCACGCAGCCCATAAGAGAAGTGCCACTGTCATTGGTCTATGAGAGATAAGGACTTTGAGGCACAGGGAGGTGAAGTGACTCCAGGGTCACAACGGGTCTTCAGACCCTGCATTCTTGCTGCAT